GGGTCAGGTATTGCCCAGGGAGGGGGTAGATTCAGCATCGCTGGAGGGTTTTAAGATGACACTGGATGTGGCAGTGATAAGAAGAATCGAATAGTGAAAGCGAAGAGTAGGATAGGGGATAGTCAGGTAGAAAGCACCTGAATAAACAAGAAGAAAAAGGTTGATTAATAAAGAATTGGTTTAGTTTATTAAGCATGAAAAGGGTAGAACTTAGGGCATTATTTTAGCTTCGGTAGCGTAAAACAAGGAAGAAAAACTAGATGCAGCTGGACTCATGACCTGGCAGAATGTGCCAAACTCAAAGGTCAAGCTGATGAAGACCATCGGCCTTCCTCCCGACGACCCCCGACGAGCACCAGAGACCCTGGGACTAATGCCAAGTGGGAGGAGGTGAAGGAAGAGATAATGATAATGACTTCCAAAAACTAATTGTAATAATGATCACCTATTCCTGGAAATAATGAAGATGCATGAGTTCTTTAATGTATATAAACTGTGAAGTTTTTGTCCCTGGGAGCACAAGTTTGGTGGAGCGATGCCCCTTGTGCCCAGTGCTGAATAAACAAATCCCTGCTCCTCAGAGATACAAGGCTGGGGGTAGTTCTTTTCCAGCCTTTTCTCCACATCAGCAGTTAGTGCAGTGACCATGGTAGGGTCAGGTATTGCCCAGGGAGGTGGTGGATTGCAGGGAAATTCCCTAATTTCAGCCGACTCAGTCGGAGTGATAAAGCAAGCTCCAGCTTTATTGTTAGCTCAGTCCTTCTCTTATACAGTGCATGAATAACTATGCTGATTGTTCTCTTTACCATTACATAACCATTACCTAAACCCTAAAAGTTACATTTGTATACTTTCTTAGCTTGCAGGACAACTATGCCTATTATTCACTTTAGCATTACCTAAGCTCTAAAGGTTACATTTATCTACTATTTCTGCTTGCAGCTGCAGCTGTGAAGAAGTCCCCTTTATTCTCAGGAGAATCCTTCTTTGTTTTCCCCGGATAGTTCATCCTTGGGCTTGCAACATTGCTGAGTTTTCCCAGATAGCTTGTCCTTCAGCTGCAACATTATGCTGAGAAAATAACTTCTAATGCTGAGAAGCTAAATTCCTAAGGCCTAATTCATGGTTATATGCTCCAAGCTCCCATAGACCTTTGCTCGACTCTTGCTCGCACAATGCTCTCTGGGAGCTGTGCCCCTGTTCCCTTAGCCATTCTGCAACAGTGGATTCAGCATTGCTGGAGGATTTTAAGATGACACTAGATATGTCTTTTATTGCCATGGTCTATTACCCACGGTAGGGTTGGACTGGATGATCTTGGAGGTCTCTTCCAAGCAGGTTGATGCTATGATTCTATTCCATGGTTGGTACTAGTCTCAGCTGTTCCTGCAGTCTGTTTGGTACTACGTGGCACATCCTACAGAGCCTTCAGAGGATGTTTCTTCCAGGAAAAGGATGTGGGAGCCAGGAATGTTACTGTGGGTTTGGTTGGGATGCAGGAGGTGAAGCTGCTAAGAGTCAAAAGGGAGGTGTAAAACCTCACAGACTGTGTTGGAAGGAGAAGCAGGAAAGTAGTTGTTGATTTTGATGCTTACAATGATTTGCCCTTTAATTTGTGAAACACCTTTTCTCTTCCTGAGCCAGTTATAATCATCAATTATGATCTTAGTGAAAACCCCTCTGCAGTCCTTGGGCCTTGTTGGTGGCACAGTGAGTGACACTGGAGCTGCTCAGGTACCTCAGCTGTGCAGGAGTGAGTGTTTCCCTGAGTCACACTGACCTCCACCTCCTCTCAGTCTCACTCTATTAGGAGCACTAATCAGCAGCTTTCTGCCAACCCCCACAGCTCCAGGTAACCCACATTTCTCAAGAAAAAGAAATCTCAAGTAATCCTTCAAACAAAAGCACAACTGGAGACTATTCCACTTATTCCCCAGGTTAATCACATTCCCCTTCCTCCAACAACCTTTAACTTAATTATTTACCATCTTAACACTGAATATTTTCAGAAGAGAAGCTCACAGCCTCACCTACAGTTTTGTAGCTAGGGAATTTGTTCCCTCTCCTTATACTCATTAATGAGATAAACAACAATATAATTAAAATCACTTTTTATTTCACTTAAGAAACAGCAAATGTTGTTTTATTTTGTACCATCTCTTTTTAGGATCTCAGTATCTCCATAAGGTGTCATAAGCATTTAACTCAACATCCATTGCACAGTTTAGCATTTGAAACAAGAACTCACTGTAGGATATAAAACAGTGGAATTTGAACAACTTAATTCCATGAAACTCTTGCTTTTAGAGAATAAAATGTTGCAAGTAAATAAATACATAATATCAATCCAAACTTGTTCCTCATCCAGTACAACTTTTGCTGTTAAAGTTCTGCAGGAGGCAGATCATTTTTTCTACTGAAACACCTTCAGCATTACTATTTCTTAACAACATTAAATACATACAAAATGATAATGCTAAAGTGACTTCTGAAACGTCTTATCCAAGGACAACTTGTGTTGTAATGACTAAGGAAAGAACACAAATGAGAACAAAGCTAAATTATCAGCAGGTCAGTCAGCAAAGCAAACATCACTTACTGCTCTGTGCAATGTCAGAGAGTTGCTGCTGTGCAGTGGCTGAAGGTAGATCTCTCTCATCCATCCTCACATTAATCTTCTTTTCACATAAAAGGGTATTTCATAAAGCCTGGATGGTTAATCTTTCCTTAAAATGCTAAATAAATCCCATGTGAGGGAAAAAAAGGAAGTTGAGATTGTGTTAATGTGGATGACAGTTGTCATGTTAATCAGAGCTGAGCTCTGTGTACAGGCACAGCAGGTTCAGGGGGGAGAAATGGGCCTTTGTCTGCAGCTGGTTTGGGCATGGGAACACACTTGACTTGATGTCAAGTTTAATCCTCACCATTTGGGCACATTATCAATGTACTCACACACCACCAGTTGTCCTCTACCATCTCAGCAAAGTTAACCTCTGACACTGACCATTTGCATATTTACTTACTGAATAACTTTTTACCACGTTTTGTTTCTATTTACCAAAAGAACCTCTATGGCTATAAAGTGCTTCAGGAAAAGACAAGGGTTCTATGCTCTGTGTTTTACTCTCGTATCTCTCAGACCCAGAAGCAGCTTTGTAAAAGTACAATTCCATCTGTAACTCAACAGCTTTTGCACCAAAGCAGCAGCAAACACTGACTCTATCTACCACTGACAACAGAGCAAATCTCTGAGGTTTCCTGAGGTTTCTACCAGGGCTTAGGAATGGCTGGAGGCTAGTAACTGCTCACAGTAGGGATAGCAGAAGATGTTAATCATAGATCCACTCGTGAGCACAGCTTCTGTAATCAACCAGTTCTTCAGAAGTGAACCACAAATTGATCTCTGTCTCAGCACTTTCCACAGAATCACTTCCATGAATGATGTTCCTAGGAAAAGAAGAGGTGGGTATAAGAGTCATAGAATTCTCAAGCCCAAAGCAAAGCAAGCTTCTTATTTTGAAGTGATTTCCATTATGGAGAGAAGCTTCAAGTATCTGTAAAGCAGCAAAAGGCACAGTGTAGGCAGTGCCAACTTTGCTCCTTGTTTTTGTCAATGGGGACAAACATGACTCGAGTTTCATCCCGAGATCCTAACACTACACAGGCACAGGGAATGGCAGCTCCATGTCTGAGATGGAGAAGGAGGGAGCACAGTTCCTACACATCTCATGACACAACACTGGACATGGAGTGTCTTTGGATGATATCAATACTTTTGCAATATACCTTCCAACTTGAACGCAGAAGTCCCCACGAATAGTGCCAGGCTTGGAATCGAATGGATTAGTTTCCCCTAGCATCACTCTTCCAGTCTTAATCACGTTAAGACCTTCCCACACCTTAAAAGAAAAAAAAATCCATTGAGATTATTAAATCTTAGCAGCAGAGAAATCATACCTGTACAGAAGGACACAGGGCTGTTCTTCACGGCACAAGTCACCAACTGGTTATTGGTAATAATGAAACATATTTTATCTCCAATTTTTTCTGTCAGATTCTTGAAGCACCTGCTGCTGTTCTCTCCTTCTGCACAATCCCCCTCCTCACCAGGATGGGGAGAGAACAATTTCAGACTCAATATGGCAAACAATTCTCACAAAGCTCCGTGCTCAGGGAAGAGCTAGACCTCCAGCACAACTATTTGAAAAATACACTATCAGGGAGATAAAGAGAAAAATCCCTTTTAGTGAAGTTAGACTGAAAAAGATTTTCAGAGTTGCTGTAATTTAGGAATACAGAAAAAATATTCCACCATCCTTTTTCAGCTTGCTAACCACATGGCATTTCATAGTGAGGCTTTTGTGCAGGTTTACTGTTTCTCAAGGTCCAGCTCTGTTTCCCCCTTTACCCATTGCCTCTTCCAACTCATACTGACTCGAAGGAGAGAAAGATTATGAGAAAAGATTAAATAAAAGGGAGCAAACTGCACATCTTCCCAATTACAGTATTTGAATCTAGGGTTTTAAGTGCTTTTAAAGGTAAACTAGAATTCAATGGGTATCAGAATCCCATTGCAGATCAGAAAACCAAACTGTGTTTTTCTGAGTGGAGTTTCATTGTCAGGAACTCACCATGGCTACAACAGGTCCCGAGTGCATATACTGCACTAGGCCATCGTAGAACGGTCGGTCCTTGAGGTCAATGTAGTGTTCTCTCAGAAGGTCTTCAGAGGCCTGTGTTAAAAACCAGCCAGCCAGACAAAAAAAGCTTACAGTAAGAACTTAAGAGCATGCTGAAATACAGAGATTACCCACTGAGCACTGGTAATCCTGAAACCTGCACGCACCTCCAAATTCAGCATTTCTAGCATCTTCCTAGGGGCACTTCTGGGTGATCTGAATTGGAACCGTTTGCTTTAACCACACCTGGACTTAGAAGTGTCTGAGCCAATACAGTTAGTGTGGCCTGGGATTTGTGGAAGATATTCAGGTATATCTATTGGACATAGGATGCACTTAAAAGAATATTGTCTTCAGACTAAGGACATCAAGTTACTAAAATTAGCATGCTTAGCATGTCTGAAGCATTTAGCCAGAGCTGGGAGTTGGAACTTCTCCAAAAACATAGAAAAAAAACCCCAAAGACTTCACAAAATTTCAGGTTTAAGCATTCTGAAGGCTGTGTGTGTCGTTACACCGTGCTGCTGCATTTGATAGGAAGAAGGAGAGATGCCAGATAAGGAGAACTTACATGTATTAATTTCATGGCCACCAGTTTGAATCCTTTCTGCTCGAAGCGCTTGATGATCTCCCCGACCAGTCCTCGCTGCACACCGTCGGGTTTGATGGCGATGAAGGTTCTCTCCTCGATGGAAGTCATCGGCCTAGGGGAGGGAAAAGGAGTCAGTGCTCCTGCTCTGCATCCCGTGTGATATCAGCTAGGAGTGGGATTAACTCAGCTGCATCTGAGGGTCATTAATCCATAATCTGCACACAGGTTTCCACAAACGCTGCAGGAGGACGTTCAAAGCAGTGGCAATGTGCCGGGCAGAGAAACAACGAGCAAATATTCAATCAGAAAGGCAATGAATGGAATAGAAGGTAATGAGTGCTGTGGATCCATCCCCCGGCACAGCCCGGGATGTCACTGCCTGCCTTTCAGTGACTAGAGCCACAGCAGAGTTTTCATCTCGAAACCCGCAGGACATCGGGGCTGGCACGGAGCGCTGCGCGGGAGAGGGAGCGTGTGCGGGCACAGCTCTGCGGGCACTGAGGGCACACGGGCGGGGGGGAAAGCGCCTGGGGGTGCCGAG